AAGAGTACTTTGCTCCAGTCTGCGCAAGTCCAGTCTCTATGCTCAACTGCAAAATTGTGCTACGCGATGGTGACATTTAAGCAAAGGTATAGCTGCTGGCCTGCGCGAAAGCAGATTTGTTCTTTTAATCTTCTCCGAACGGTGTTAACGGATACATTAATGCGGACAATATGTATTTTGTAGGGTTTTTAGGGTCACTGAATTCAATACCGATGCCAGATTTTTAAAATTCAAAATAGCGGATCCAATATGGCAAACCAAACATCGAAAAATTCTAAATTTCGAGTAAAAAAAGTTGTGTCACATTCTACGTAAAATTTAGAGTAACAGTTGTCTCTAGTTTTTCAATTTAACGCAAAGTTTCCGCATAAAAAATTCATGAGTGTTTCAGATTTTTAGGGTCGCTTGATCCTTGTGTGCGTGTGTGTGTGAAGGAATCCAACAGTGTTACATACGAACTACACATATTCTGAAAGATTTTCGGGGTCGCTAAACTCCAATTTGATATCAGATTTTCAAAACTGAAAATGGCTGATCTAATATGGCAGATCGAAAATCGAGGAATTCAAAATTTTCAATGAAAAACAATTTTTGTCTGTAGTCATAATTTTTTGAGAAATATCTTTTACTGCAAATGTTACATAGAATGCGATAAAAATTTTTTTATAGTTTTTTGTGTCAATGTTGCATAGAACATAAACTGGTGAAGTAAGACATTCTGCTGGATTCCTTCACATACACACACACGCACACACACACACACGCGCGCGCACATGCGCACACGCGCACACACGCATGTGCACACACGCACACACGCGCACACACACACACACACACACACACACACACACACACACACACACACACACACACACACACACACACACACACACATATACACACACGCAACGCACACGCGTGCGCGCATATAAGGATTAAACTCTTTTATGCGATTCTAAAAATCTGAAATATTCATGAATTTTTTATTCGGAAACTTTGCGTTAAATTGAAAAACGACTAGAGATAACTGTTACTCTAGATTTTACATAGAATATGACACAATTTTTTTTACTCGAAATTTAGAATTTTTCGATATTTGGTCCGCCATATTGGATCCGCTATTTTGAATTTTAAAAATCTGGCACCGGTATTGAATTCAGTGACCCTAAAAACCCTACAAAATACATATTGTTTTTATGTGCGATCTGTTCGGTTCCTTCCATTCACAAAAGTATTATTCACCATGACCCGACAGCCGCCACTTCGTCTCTTCAATCTTGCCTGTATGTTCAATAATTTTCTAACAACATCGAAAGAAACCTGTAGAAGCCTAACTTGGTATGTAGATTGAATAAATCAGCATTATAAAGTGGAGAAACCTCAATACAAAAGAAAATTCGCGATTTCGACTGCAACTTTGAGTCTGCCATATTGAAAAAAATTTGGAAAGAAAACTACTCACATATTTTTAAAGTACAAATGTTAATAACACAATCTGTGCAGTTTCCGGTGTAAAACAAAAATTTTTTTCTATAAGAAATCAGTGATTTTGGTAAAAAGAGACTATAAAAAACGCGATTTTTGTCTAAATTTGTCAAAAACAATAAAAATTGATATTTTTGGGTTTTCTAAATGGTCAGGTCGTAAAGAACGGACCCGGGAACCCTTAGAAAAATTATCCCCAAAAAGAATTATTGGTGATTTCATTAAAATCTGTTAGCTCCAAGTTGGAGAAAAATGTTATGTTATTCGGGTGTTAATGAGTTAATGTAATAAGTTAAAAGAATTGAATTGTAAACCTGTTCCACTTAAAATATTGTAAATAAATAAGAATCAGATCTATGTAAGATTTTTTATTTTTAAATATTTTATTTATTTACTTATATTATTAACTATTATATTTTTAAAATATTTATTTCATCTTTGACAAAACAACTAAATTTTGTTACACTAAGTGCATTGTTCTCTCTCTTTCCCTCCTTTTCTCTCTCTCTCTCTCTCTCTCTCTCTCTCTCTCTTTCTCGTTTTTATTCTCCTCAGGGGAATATGGTAGCCAATGTATTGCATCGCGGAGAAATTCCTTTATAATTAGTTGTTTTATGCTTCACATACCAAAGTCTGGAATAACCTCTTTGTTACTTAAACCAAAGCTAGGCAAAGTTTAAAACTTTCGGCCGATTTTCGGAAGCTACGCCTTCTATCTCCCTTTACCGCGCGGCGGATCCAGCAACTGACAGTTGCGGCTCGCGACCTCAGGACCGTTGAGATCATAAGGCGCATCTATGTGGTGCTTACTAAAGATGCGTTCGGGGAGCGCGTCGATCAGCGCTAACGCGTCATTCAATCCTTGTACATGTAATGAGCGATAAAGATAGAATAACGTGTTAACGTTGACAACGCGCTCCTTTAATGCACCTCAAAGGCTGAAAAATAAATGTATCGATACAACTATATGTATAATATTTCGTACAAACATACAAATATATACTTGTATAAGTATATATATATTTTTTTCTTATATTTTTATAATTAGAAGGTAACATAATAGGTTTCCTAGTCATCCATGAGGTACTATTGCCGACGCGTTTTGTTTTTAAACCACATAGATGCGTCTTATGATCTCAACGGTTCTGAGGTCGCGACCGTCAGTTGCTGGATCCGCCGCGCGGTAAGGGGAGATAGAAGGCATAGCTTCCGAAAATCGGCCGAAAGTTGTAAAGTTTGCCGAGCTCTGACTTAAACCAATTGGTTCGCTCAGCGAGATGAAGAACGTTTTCTCGATTGTTTGCTTCGAACTTTTTGCCTCGGAGGATCAGTTTCCATGGAGGCCCCTTTTCTCATGATATGACCGAAGTGTTTAAAAATTCAGCTTTGTATAGTGCTGGATATACACTGCTGTACTTTCAATTCGAAAAATGATTGTATTTGCTCTTCATTATTTAGGCAGTGCTTGATGTTCGATCAGATTTATTAGTCATACATTGCATTGAATATTAGGCAAGGCTTTTCTTATTTGCTATTAAAACTTCTGTATGTCGAAGATTCCCATGTGTTTTGAAGACTTTTGTTTTGATATATGCCTTAATTTCAGTCATACTTTCACTTTGAGCAACTTATAATTTGATCCGCAGACTGCGCTAGGATAAGTTCTTATTGTTTTGAGAAAAGATTTCCACCGAGAATTTGTGAATATATAATCATTTACACGTTCTGTTGCCAGAGCTTATTCAGATGTATAGTCTCCGCATATGATGGAAAAAATTGTATTCATGATAGTTTATTTTGCGTAACAAACTCTAATAGACATTCTCCCTTCTTATTCATTTTTTCTATTCAATATCAACAACCATTTTAGTATATATTGCTGGTTGCATTTCCAATTTTTGTGTTTAGCTTGTAGGGGGACATAAGACAGCGATAGCATTTTGTTTATAGATGGCACCACTTTCGAGATATTCGCTGATCATCAATTTTCTTAAATAGAAATCCCAGTCTTTTATTATATCATCTTTTTCTACCAACTAATTTGAACAACTTTTGTCTGAAACTTTTTTATTTGCTTAATTTTTTTGAAATATTTAAGGAAAACTTGGCAACTTTTTCAACATTTAACTTACGATATCTCGCTAACTATTCGTCGAAAGAAAAAATAGTATGAGACTTTTTTACTTTATTTACTATCAAAAATATATTATTATAATAGTACCCTAACTTTTGTTAATTTAATAATTTTGAAATTTCCAAAGGTCGATAAGTTAACAAAAGTTAGGGCACTATTATAGTAATATGTTCTTGATAGTAAATAAAGTAAAAAAGTCTAATATTTTTTCTTTCGACGAATAGTTAGCGAGATATCATAAGTTAAATGTTGAAAATGTTATCAAGTATTCCTTAAATATCTCAAAAAATATTAGGCAAATAAAAAAATGTTTTAGATAAAAGTTGTTCAAATTAGTTGGTAGAAAAAGATGATATAATAAAAGATTGGGATTTCTATTTAAGAAAATTGATGATCAGTGAATATCAGTGAAAGTGGTGCCATCTATAAACAAAATGCTATCGCTGTCTTATGTCTCCCTTCAAACCAAACAACTTTTGTCTGAAACATTTTTCGCAGTGTTTTTGATATATTTGAGTGAGTCCTTTAAAATGGGACACCCTGTATATCAAGGTCATGAATTTTTGAGAGGGTTGACCTAATGTGCATATTTGTCAAATTCTTGGTTCTGTAGGCTATATGAAGATCTTGAAATATTCTTCATTTTTTTATTCCACATTTTTTTAGTGAAATGTCTATTATAAATTTTCTTTTAAACATTAAAGAAAAGAATGTTATTCAAATTCTAATTTCGAACAATATGTAAGAAATATTAAACTTTTAAGTTATCATTAGGAGTATTAGTAGAGCTTCTATCGTTATATATATTTTTTGACGTCGATTCAGAGGATATTTGAATGTTAGGCTTTTCAATTAATATGTCTTCAATTAATGAATTAGGAAAGACTATACCAGAAGAATGAAGAATTTCTATGATCTCGAAGTTTTCGAATAAATTAATAGTTACTAAAAAAAAATTGCTTCATCTTGATTTAAAAATAAAATAATATCGAACAAGACCGATTCAGTTGTGTAAATTCCTGAAATATCTGTAGTTTTATTGTTTGTTGAAATATCACCAACTTCCATTTTGTTTCTTAAATAATAAAATATAAAAAATATGTAAAAATATCAAAATAATAGAAACAATTTTTTGTGAATAAGAACATTTTTTAAGATTTACTTAAATAAAATTGCTGGTTAACTATTTAATTTTAGGTCAATATTTATATAAGCCGTTGTTAAGGAGGTCATTAAAGAGGCTTTGTAATATTAATTTTTTATATTTTTGAGAGAGGAGAGAACGTTAATGTCAAGAAATTTTTTTCGAAATATGCAAGATGCTTTTAAAATTTTCTTTTTCATCGTTAACATTAATTTTCATTTTCTTCTACTTTTCTAGCTGAATCTTTTTCCAATATTTATCATGCTACGCTTATTGTAAGGGACAGCGTCAGAATCTTTGGGCTCGAGCGCATTCCTGAAAATATTATTATCTTAAATCTTATTATTACTTACCTTTCAAACTTTTTTCGAGAGGCTAGTTATCAGTGTTTAATAATATAATTACTGTATAATAAATTTCTTCACATAGATTGTGGTATGTTATGCTAGAAATTTAAATAAATATAAATATCAGTAATATTTGACATTTTTCAACATTTTTGCAATCTATTTATTTTTTATATGTTAATGTATTCGAAATATTACCCAGTCGTATCAAATCTGTTTATCCAATAACTTTAATTATAATTTTAATTATAAACTTAAATATAACTGAACTATATAACTTTAATTATAATTAATTATAATTTTAGCTTATGTAAAATGTAAATGATTATTTCCAATATTTGTTCTTTAATCTTGTTTTATGTTTAAATAAAGTTAAAGATAACTTGTACTTTTAATATTTTTAAGTCATTCTTTTTGTTCAAATTTTAAAATTTTATTTTCCCGGTAGCATAGTTATTGAAAAATTATAGAATAATAACATCAGAAACAATAAACAACATAAAAAATTAAAGAATTTTGCTATAATTACGATACAATGATTCGTTATTACATAGTAATTTTGTTCGAATAAAATTTCTAAATGACATTGTTAAAAATTAGAAAAATTCAATTTTTTAAATAGAACCTCCCATTTTTCATTGCATATTTTTGTAGCTTATCTCGAAAGCTTTGCAAAACACTGATAAAGTATTTTTCCATTAGGTACTTTTTGAGTTATGAAGCCTGAAAGTTAGATTACCGTCGGTATTAGTATTATCCACAGTGTACTGCGTAGAGGTTGCACGGTCGAATTTATACCTCTGTTGTATGTGTGTCACAGCAGAGATAAGGACCCTACGGTTCGTCACTCTCGTAGTATTTATCGACTCCAAACCGTCTCTGTTGTTTGTGTGTATGTGTATAGCTGATGTGATTAAGTCTTATAACTTTCGAAATGTTCACCGTTTGCTTCAATATAATATAAACAAGTACTCTTATCTCGAAATTATTTGTTGCACGAAAAATTTTATCAGCATGTAGAAAACGAATAGTGTCGCGCATTCTACGAATTGTATCTTTTCTTGTCGTAGAGCATTCGCGGTATATCAGTACCTTTAGTCTTCCCCAAGAATAGTAAACGAAAGAAAGTAGATTTCGTCCGAAATGTCTGATTTTACGCACTGCATTAATAAAGCCGAATATTTGACTCCCGTTCAGTTTAGTCTAACACATATACACACGTACATTCTCTTCCTTTCGATTCTTTGAGTTCAGTCATTTCGTCAGTAGTGACAAAAAAACTCTACACGCGCATTTCTTACGTACTAACAACTGCAAAAATTCTTTCGAAATAAAGTCAGCCCTGAATCGATTAAAATTGTCTTGTCTTGTCACATACTTTTTTCACGTCAAATACTGTTACGTAAGGTATAACAAAATTCTCATTTACTAGCTATGCCGCATTCAAACGCTGAAGTTTTGGATATAATGTTAAATTTAGATGAATATGGTAATCAATTTAGAGCAGCTGCAAGATTGTGGCGAGAACGATATTCAGATCGCGCTCTTCACTCATATCAAGTTTTTGCTCGCTTAGTTAAGTGAATTACCCAATGAAGATGTCAACCTGATCACAATAAAGGTAGACGAATTCGACGCCAAGTTAAGGACGAAAGGACGTTGGAGATTTTTGCATCCGCTTAATTACATTCCTGCCATTCATCAAGATGTACAGAAAGAGATTCCGATATTAGTCTCAACACGATCTACCGGATTCTTCACGAAAATAAACTGCATCCGTAAAGAATTATTTTTCATCAAGCACTGATGAATGCCGATTTTAGATACAGACTCGAATTTTGCAATTGGGCTCGTCAACAATCGCGAGACTTTCATAACAAAATTTTATTTTCTGATGAATGCACATTTACAAGTGACGCTTCTGTAAATACTTAGAACTGTCGTTATTAGGCATAAGAAAATCCTTATTGGCTCCGAGAAATTGACCACTAACATATTTGGAAAGTTAATATTTAGTATGGAATTGTTGAAAAACGTCGTTGGACCGTTTTTCTTTGAAGAGAACCTAAACGGTGTTCGGTATGCCAATTTCATTGAAAATGACCCGCTCTTGCTTGAAAATATTCTTCTGCAATTGCTTGGGTAATGCTAATGCCGGCGGTGCTCTAACTTTTAGGCCTTATAATTCGAAAAGTACCTGATGAAAAAATATTTTATTATAGTGTTTTGCAAAGCTCTCGAGATAAGCTACAAGAATATGCAATGAAAAATGGGTGGTTTTATTTCAAAAAATTAAAGGTGACTTTCATATATGTTTGGATACGCTATTCAAGGTTACACTAATACCACTATCTGATGCATCACTTAAAACTCTACAACTTTTGTCTGAAACAGTTTTCTGTAAAATGTTTTGTTTACAAAAAAATCAGGTGGCCTTGGTGATTTGAAATACCCTGTATATACAGGGTGGCCCACGTAAAGTGTTACAAGTAACTTTAAAAATATTTATCAAAAATTGTTCATAAGGGAGTTTCATGTATTCGAAAGGCCTCTCTAACTACATAAACGTAAAGTCGCCCCCACTTCCCCTTTAAGAGGGAACGGGGGTAACTTCATAATTTTAAATGGAACCCCCTATAAAATGTTACATATTTGGATTCTATGGGAAAAAACAAGTAATTTTATCTGAAACATTTGTTTGGAAAATGGTTCTATCAAAAGTTATAAGCATTAAAGTTATAAACCTTTAACGATTTCATTCATGATTGAACTCCATTGACATAAAGTTGCATCCGTGATACAACAAAAATAAAAAAGACCTTAGAGTACATACTTGATGTTAATCAAAAGAAACATAAACACATTTATCGGGAAACGTAAATATAGATCACAGACCCGTTTCTCGCAATAGTTTTATTCAAATCATTAATTTCTGTATTATTATCGCAAATCCATTACAAATCCAAATACAACATTTGATATAAAATTAATTGGAAAAAACATCTGTAGGTTATATAAATGTTCACAAGAGAAATTTGACCTATCTACAGCGATCCGAATAGATATAGGTTGCATGAAAAGTTCGCGGAGCGAAACTGAAATAAAGGATACCTAATTCTACAAATGATTTTATTCTTCAATATAGTCTCCATTAATTTCAATACACTTGGCCCAATGGCTCTCCAATAATTTTATTTCATCGCGGAAGAGTGTTTCTGGAAGGTCTGCGAAATATGCCTCTACGGCTGCTATAGCTTCTCCATTCAACAAAAAAATGCTTTCCACGGAGGAATTGTTTCAGGTTTCGAAATAGATAGAAGTCGCTGGGTGCCAAATCTGGCGAATACGGTTGATTAAGCAATTTGTACTTCAATTCATTGAATTTAGACATTGACAAAACACTTGTGTGAGCAGATGCGTTGTCTTGGTGAAAAATGATTTGTTTGTGCTGCAACTTTTCTCACGAATTTTTGCGTCCAATTGATCCAAAAGGTTTCAATAATATTCAGAGTTAATTGTTTTAACTTTTTCCAAATAGTCAATTAACAAAATCCTTTTAGCATCCCAAAAAACTGATGCCAAAACCTCTTTTGCCGATCTTTCATGCTTTGTTTGCTTTGCAGCTGAACATCCAGTCCACTTCAGTCCACTGTAAACGTTCCTGTTCCAATTTAAGATCATGGTGATAGATCCAAGTCTCATCCATAGTTATAAAACGACACACAAAATCAGTTTTATTCTTCTTAAAACGATACAAATGACGCTGAGAAATTTGCTTTCGAGCGAGTTTTTGTTGAATTGTTAACGTATGCGGCGCCACTTTTCCAAACACATTTTTCATTTGTAATTCTTTATGCAAAATATGCCGTTCATCTGAAATGCCTATGGTATGAGCAATTTCATGCGTAGTCACACTTGGATCTGCAGAAACAATAACATGTATTTGTTCAATGATTTCTGGTGCTGATGCGCTTTTTGGACGTCCACTGCGTGGATGATCTTCAATGCTTGTACGACCACGTTGAAACTCAAGTGCCCATTTACAAACAATTGTTTTTGAAGGAGTACAGATTCCACTGACACATTTACCATCTTGGAATGAATTGCCATTGCCTTTAAAGGGTGTATGAAGTTGGCACCCCGTTTTTCGAAATTTACAATTTTGAAAGTTGTTCCAGATTGTTCTGACTTTGTACTACATTGTTCCAAAGTGATATTGCTCCATTCCAAACGGTTTTCGAATAAAACAAAAAAAATGATTTTTTGAGCTGGCACCCCGTTTTTTGAAAATCGAACATTTCGATACCGCTATAGATTGTTCTAGTTGTTTCAAAGATTGTTCCAAGAGGACAAATCCGCAAGGTGAACTATAAGTCCGAAAAATGAAAAAAGTTTTTTGACAGTCTACCGGACCAAGAGTAAACTTATATTATCTTTCTTGTTCCAACCGAGCCCTTTCTATTCTGAATTATTCCATGCTTAGAAATTATAGTTCTTAAGTATGAATCTCGTACCACCATCCGTTCTCCCAAAATTCGAAAAAAATCGATTTTCCAGCACCCGACGTTAAGAGTAAACACATGCTTTCTTCTTTGTTCCAACCGAGCCCTTTTTGTTCTGAATTGTTCTAGGCTTAAAAATTATAGTTCTTAAGTATGAATCTCATACCATCATCCGTTCTGCCAAAATTAAAAAAAATCGATTTTCCAGCACCCGACGTCAAGAGTAAACACATGCTTTCTTCCTTGTTCAAACCGAGCCCTTATTGTTCTGAATTGTTCTAGGCTTAAAAACTATAGTTCTTAAGTATGAATCTCGTACCATCATTCGTTCTGCCAAAATTCGAAAAAAATCAATTTTCCAGCACCCGACGTCAAGAATAAACATATGCTTTCTTCCTTGTTCTAATCGAGCCCTTTTTGTTCTGAATTGTTCTAGGCTTAAAAATTATAGTTCTTAAGTATGAATCTCGTACCATCATCCGTTCTCCCAAAATTCGGAAAAAATCGATTTTCCAGCACCCGACGTCAAGAGTAAACACATGCTTTCTTCTTTGTTCCAACCGAGCCCTTTTTGTTCTGAATTGTTCTAGACTTAAAAATTATGGTTCTTAAGTATGCAT